CTTCACGCTGGAAAATTCTGTGAAAAGCTCGGCCTCGAACTCGAGTGACTCGGCGTCATTTTGCTTCTCGAATGAAGTTTTACTCCGAGGAACTTAGACGGTGGATACGATGTGGCGACCGTCTCCCGCCGGTCACGCGGGAGTAAACGCTTTTTTTCCACGCGTTAAGAGGGTTAACGAGTCGCCGGGCGCAACGTGAAAGCAAACTCTGCTTAGAGCGAAATATAAAAAAAAAACACATACACACATACATGATTTATGACTTCCTTCTGTATTGACCGTCTCATCCCTCCGTTCGGAGCCGGCTCGAGCTGCGGGCGGGCGGGAGAAAGACCGAGCGAGAGGGAAAACGAGGACAGGGTGGCGAAGAAGAAGCGGAGGGCGGCCAGGAGGGTCTGACCCCGGGCGGGCATGGCGGTTTGCATATTCGCCACCGCATAGCCCGGTGGCGGTTATACATCATGCATCCGCGGCGGTCTCAGCGGGTCGCGGCGCAAGTGCAACGGTGCACCCACACGGTGCATCCGTCCGTGTCGTGTCCTCACGTGCAGCGGCGGCGAGAGAGAGAGAGAGAGAGAGAGAGAGAGAGAGAGAGAGAGAGAGAGGAAGAGAACAAGAGAGCCACCGGCGTGATGTTGCACGTGAGAGTGGATGCTCGTATACACACATACACACACACACACACATGCGCGCACACCCGTGGGTGTGTGCAGAGGGAGGGCGCAGGGGTTGCATATACGTGCAGCGGCGATTCCGCGGACGGCCGGCGTTCTTGCATTCGCACGAACGTCTCGTTTTGTGTCTTCCCCGCCGTGCCGAAGAGGTGATTCACGATAGCTCGGACGATAGCTCGGGCGAATTTGCATCCTTGGAATCCGCGGCGTGGGCAGCGGCAACCTGTACCTCCTTCCCTGCCCCTTCCCTCTTCTGCCTCCTCCTGCAGCGTCGAGTCGAGAGTGTGTGCCCTCTTTCTCCCTCCGTTCGTCGTCGCTCCCTCCCGGGGAGGGGGGGGGGTCATTCTTGCGGCGATCAGGTCGTTGCCGACGCAAATTCCGCGCGCGCGCGCGCAGCGACTTCCCTCGCTCCTGCGGGCTGTCACGTAGCAGGATGCGGTTGTCGGGATGTATATCGCGGTCGGCCAGCGAAGGGGTGAGAATCGCGGGGGAGCAGCGCGACGACCCTCGCGCCAGTCCCGATCGCCAACCAGTATGACCTTTACCAGCCGGCGTCGGAGCGGCTCGAAGCGTCAGGCTGTTCCCTTATCCGGATTATGTAATAATCAGTGTCGAACAACCGCGCTACAGAGCGTGGTCATCGCGTGGACCGTGTTCGCTTTTTACCCGCGACGTCTGCTGCGTGGGCGACAGGTCTCTCGCCCACACACAGACGTCGCGGAACGGACGTCAGCCGGGCACGGAAAGGGGTGGAAATCGCGCGGCTGATCCGTGAGGCCGCGGTGCTCGTCCATCTTGCGACTGTCGCCGCTCGTTTTCCTCGTTTCGCACGCAAAAGCATAGCAAAAAGTTATCACACGTGTGTGATAACTTCTTTCTCTACGCATGTCTGTGTCCCTGCTGTCCCATCTATCTGTCCACTTTGCTCTCGGTGTTCACATAAACCACACACAAGCCTGTTTTACATAATTCCGCAAAAAAACGCAAGGTGATCCGCGGGGGAGGGTTCTTCGAATAAACCGTGTCAACGAACGTAACATTCCGAGCAGAAATCAAACACGGCAATTTTTTGTGCCTGATATGGCATGACTAGGCGAGCCATAAGAAGGCGCTTCGAGTGGTCCTTATCCGGTCGGAATGTGGCAATTGTCTTGCAATATTTTCCGGATTATACCCTGACCAGCGGTGGCGTCATTATTTGGATGCCTGATTTGGTCCTGATGGACATCAGGATCAGAGGTTTCTCGATTTCAGGCAATTTCATCAGGGCATTATGCAGCAGTGCGTCTCACTCTTTACTGCGTGCCGGATCGGATAAAGTTATCCGGGCCTTATTTGAAATTTGAAATTTGGTAACCGGTAACTGGATTTTAATACGGCCCAGTACCGCGATTCTGTAACTCGTTGTTGGAGTTAACGACAGTTTCGTTATCGTTGCGCAGCTTTTCTACGGTATACAAAAGCTGCGCAACAATAACGAAACTGTCGTTAACTCCAACAACGAGTTACAGAATCGCGGTACTGGGACGATGTTCTGCTCGGGATTGACAGCCAGCGAAATTTCCTTGGCACCGATGAACATTATTTCCTCGCAAAATTGATACGTAAGACCACGGGCAGTATTCACAGTCGGATCTTGCACTCAAGTTTGTCCGAGGCTCACCTGCACTCTGGTCTCTACGGAGAGTCTGAAGATGAAACTCAAGACGATCTTAAGTATATACATACACATGATCGGACTACGAATACCGACTTATTACGAGAGGAAAGCGCACACACACACACACACACCCGGTGCACCCGGACATGACTCAACGTCGGCGCTCTCGCTCTCCAGGAATCTAAACGCGCGTCACGCGTCACCTCGCTTTCGTTATTTTCCCGATCCGGTCTCCGGCGGCCGGCCGGCGATCGCGGCGCGTATTTATCGTCGGCATTAGCATTATTCAGACACGGGGAGCCCGTCGCTGGCGGAGTATTATATCCTTCGATCTTTCTCTCTCTCTCTCTCTCTCTCTCTGCGCCGCGACCTGCCTTCTTCGAGACGCGCATTGATCTTGCGCTTCGTCGTCGCTCGCGGTCGCATCGGCGGAGTTAATGCGCGTTGAATATGGCGATATGAGGTCGCCGGATGGGAACCCTCTATAAGGCCGCATCTGCAGCCGGCCTCGCAGATGAAACAGCTCCCCTCCCCTTCCTCCCTCTGTACAACAGTGTATTATCTCGCTGGTGAGATCTTATCGTCGTCGTGATCATCCGGGCTTGTGCTGCTCCGCCGGGAAAAGCCAGCGGCGAGTGTGTCCTTCCGCCGTTCGCGCGAAATTAAACGACACGGTGTAGACGCGCGGCAGGTCCCGTCCGCGATGACGAAATGAGAATGCATATTATGCGATATGAAGATAACGTGTGCGACGCAACGTCGCGGATGTATAAATAAGAGGACGAGCGTGAGACGTAATCGGTGACGGATTACATCGCGAGCGTAAATTTGCGTTTCGCGTTTCGAATTGCGACTTTCGTCTCTCGACAGCAGGCGTTTTCAATCTCGCCTGCGGTATTATTTCGATTATTTGTGCGGACCGCACTCTTCCTCTCGTTACACTCTATATATATATATATATATATGTATATATTATATTTATTTATATTATTATATTTATTTATTTAAAATCCGTGTTTTCCTTGTTGCACATGGTGCGTCGTTGTATCGCGGAATTATTCGGCTGCGGGCAAATTAGATTAATTCCTCTCACGTTCCCGACAAGCGTGTTATTAACGACGCGCTGGAACAGCGTCGAATTAATTAAAATCGAATTAAACGCAGATTGTACAAATCGCTGAATCCGAAAGCGGCGTAATTTCAGCGCCCGCGATAATCCTCGAATTAATATTCCCAGCCGCTTTATCGCTCATCTCATTAAAATTCCTCACATTTCCAACTTGCATCTGTTACCTTTGTTTCAGACCAACTGTGTGTTTTTTCAAAGGTAGTTTATTTCGCATCTCGCGCGTAGATATTCATCGTCACGACTGTGACATCGGAGACGAGGAGCGTAGAAAGGAAGAGAGAGAGAGAGAGAGAGAGAGAGAGAGGGAGAGCAGGGATGCGCGATTTACGAAATTGCGCATCGCGACGGGATTTTTATTACAAATCGCGTTGGACGCGACCATCATACATAATTTTAAATCGACCTTTCGCGCTCTCGCGACCTCGAGAAGCGACGGAATCGATTCCGGAGTCGTACACTGAGAAAAAAGTATATGATATTTGGAACTATAATGATATACAGTCCGAAATATCATATTTATAGTAAGTATTACCATAATATCGGTAATAATTACGATATAGGCATAGTATAACCAAGCATATAATATAATTTACTAGGAATTATAGTAAGTTAAACTAAAATTATTGTATGGATGCAGATATAAAATGGTAGGTAAAGTAGTAACTCTTTTATATAGTCAATATTAGCCAGAATATTTGCTAAATGATGACAGATGTACCCTATACGAATATTAAATCTCACTATATTTGTGAATGAGAAATTACCATATACGTGGTATATGTGGTAAAAGTAACCAAACAATGATTTAAGACAATCATTGACTATATATTTGTGTTTATTCCACTATATTTTGCAGGTTTCCACGAACTATAAAATATACCCGTATAATATATAAAGTTAACCCGCCAAAATGAACTGTAAAATATAGTGAGATTGTAGTTAATTCAACTATATTTTTCCATGAGTTTTCTATCAGGAGCGACTTTACGATCAGGATCCAGTCGCGCGTCGGGAGAAAATCGCAGTGTGTTCGCGAAATACATCGCGAAATCGCGCGTCTCCTCGCGGTCGTACGAAAATGGCCCGTCGCGCAAACACGACACGTCGCTCCGCGATCGGACCGAGTCTCTAAAACGAAACGCTTGTATTCGGGCGAGAGCCGCGCGCGCGGCCAGCGGCTCTCGCCCGCGTTATCGGGCCGCCGATCGCAGATATGGTGTGTGCCTCTCCTTCGCCTGTTCCACGATGGTTACTAACCAAGAACTAATAGACCGGCGTACACCAGCGGCCTCTTAGCGCCTCTCGCGACCATCTACATACGGCCACACGAGTCCTGAGTTTCCCATAGCTGCGCTCTCCCGCGTCCTTCGTGCAGGATCACGAACCCCTCGTTACCCAGCTGGCTGGCTGGCTATCCTCCCTTGTTTCGCCTTATCTCAGCTCTTTCGGTACGGCGATTAACACCGCGCGGTGTTCTTCGACGGATACCTTCATCTCTCGCTCGCACGCGTGCGCGCCTTGTAAAAATCTTGTCTATAAATGCTTCGCGCGAAAATGTTTCAACTTGCCGACTCAACGGGCCCCTGCAAATCTGTGCTCTCGCCTTTGAGAAGGTGAGAGAAAGAGACGATTCGCGACGCGACTTGACTCACAGCGCATAAATACCGAATCGAGATCAAATGAAAATTTGTGCTTCTATTTTGCTCGGTAAATCCCCCCATCGGACTCGAACAATCGATAATCGCATTCGCGACTTGCCGTTTTATTTATGCACGCGGCGTCGGGGTTGACGCTCTGCCTACTTGTTATTACCAGTTATCAGACGACTTATCGATTATTATTCTATCATGTATTATTTTGATCGTATTATCATATACATGTGTCAATGTGCATGATAAACGCGTAAATTGCACTGCTTAATTCAACGTGATGCAAAGCACCACACTTTTATTACTACGTTACGTGTATAACAATCTTACAGAATCAAGAGATATGCTAAACATTCGCGATGCAATATCATGCAACTTCGAACATATGAATGAGAATAAACAGCGTGAGACAAAACTTGACCGTGCAACCGGCAGGAGTACGCGAGTAAAACTGTGCGCGCAGCATGAATTTCTGACGTAGCGAATGCGGCGGCGCATCAACACCGGTTTACTTTCACCATTAATCATAGTTTAGTAAATGAGGAAATTTTGCCAAAAGAACGATATTATGAAACTTGCTAAACTCACGATAGCCCACAGTAGTAGAAACGAGCCGGTGGTTAGCACGGTATAATGAGCGATCTTCAGTCTGGAAAAATGAGTCATGATGCATTAACAATAACGTTTCACGAAACGAATAAGAGAGACGCGTCGCGAGAGTAGCACTCACTTCTTATATCTGGCGCGTGCTTCTTCCAAGTTATCCGTCGTTTCGTTAGCCATGTATAGGCGAAGCCCGAGCATCAACTTCTGCATATATTCGTCCCAGGACAAGTCTTGTATGTTGAAATCGAAAATCTCACGATCGACTGGATTTAGACGGTCCCAAAGCTTCACGACAGAGTCGTCGCGAAATTGCCATTGACCCGCCGAGAAGTATGATATCACATTGTTGAACGTATTTATCTTCTTGTATGCTTTCAACAACCTAAAAGTTGCCGACTTTGTTAACTCTTGGAAAACTCGCGGTATCTCTGTTCTACTTCTTTCCCGTAGGAAAAGATCTCCTTCGTTTCGGAAACAACTTTCGGAGAAGCCTTGTACAGTACTCGACTTTGAAACTTGTCTGAATATCGCTGTTATATGTTGTGTCAAAAAATTTTACGTCGCTTTGACTTTTTCCATTATTGTGGGTAACAAGTCATATCGTATCTTTTAGCGTTGAAGGAAACGTTGATAAATTTCTTACATGGGTTGTCGGCCAGAGAGGATAGCCACGAGATCGAATATGGCGCCGGGTATTATATGCAGAAATATCGAGCATATTTCATGCACTGATCGGTGTCTGTTTAAGATCAACATGTAATACCACATGAGTTTCATGCTTGGCACACACAAGCCGTGTTCCTCGTTTAACCTCATAAACTCCTTCCAAGTAATAGGATTTTGGACCGACGACACGTAGTTGTAAATTGGCGTTCTCTCCGTTTCCGGGAGGACGTTCAGGTCCGTGCTGTCAATACTGAGTAAAGTGCTTCTAACAAAAGCAAAAGGTACAAATTTATGCGCAATGGCGTGTAAAATTAACGTATCCTGCCGCATGATCGCGATTAGGCGCAATAAGATAAGCGGAAATCGAAGAGATATCGCGCGGGCCGTGTGCGACGGAGAGTGTCTTCAAAGTGTCAACTCACTTCCTTTCAGCGACGTCCCAAGCCGCGACGATGAGATTCGCGATTATGTAATCGGCAGGTATTATGTCCGCTATATTTTCGGGCACGCAGTGTAAAGTACGCAGCAAACCCAAGGCACTGCCCACCACGATGCCCATCGCTCCGTACATGTTGTTGGTCCATCCACTTACCGGTTCTTTCGCCGTTGACGTTACAATCGATGGACGTACGATGCAGACTGGCAATCCAACGCCGTATTGTCGCACCGTGTCCTCGGCGATCGCCTTAGTGTACACGTAGGTATTCGGCCACTCGCCTACTAATCTGCACTCGCGCAAAATAACAGTCGAAAGTAATGAGCATTTCGTCAGAGAGACCGGATCGGAGGGAGATCGAGATCGTAGGATCGTTTGAGTTTCTCGAAAGGGCACTCACATCGGTGTTATCTCATCCAGTTTCTCATTACTCAGAATTTCGGTCAGTGTCAAGATCTCGTCTGTTTTCAAAGGCGATGGGTAATACTTCTCCTCGATAAAACTGTGCACGCAGTAGGAATATGCGGTCGACACATAAACAAACGCCTGAACGAAGAAGAAAAAGGGCAAGAGAAAAAGTGAATGCTCAGTGAGCGCGAGTTGAATTTGTGCGAGAATTGTTACGAGAATAAAGTAGAGACTGAAGCAGCACCTCGATATTCGGCATCTCCCTCGCGAAGAGGAGAATTTGTTTGGTCCCCCTTATGTTAATGTTCACCGCGCCTCTCATCGTTTCGTTAAACCGTACGTTCGCCGCCATGTGGAAGATTACGTTTGTGTCTAAGAAACGTTCCCGGTTTTCCGCCGACAAGCCTAGATTTACCTCGCTCATGTCAGCTTCTATCATTATCACTTTAGTGATAAATTCGGGCTGTTCTTGCTTCAGTCTATCGTAAATCTAAAAACACAGACTGGAAGAAGATCGCGATTGTGATCTCGATTTGATGAAACGTATATTCCATTTATTCTACTAACGATATTGTCGAAGTGTTCCTTGAATCGCTCTTCAGTTGATTTTCCTTTCTTCCCCTTCATTAGCATGTAAATCTTCGCTATACCTGGGCAGCATCTAAAGACATCGTTTCGTAATCAAATTCTCGACAAGTGTCTCCGCGCATCGCAAGTTCTACGTACGATTACACTGTGTACAATAAAATTCTGCCTCCGAAATTGTACCAAAAAAAGGCTCAATTTTTTAATTTGTATATTTGTTAGAGATAGGATACCATTTTGTGGCATGATGATCCATGTATATTTTACACTTTTTTTTTTTTTAATACAATTGAGAAATGTACTTTCTCGTGCTAAGGTACTTACCGCAATAATCTTTCTATCAGAAGTATGCCGAAGAAGCCGGTGCTTCCCGTTACGAGAATGTTACGTCCCGTATAATATTGCGAGACTTCACTCTGGCAATTGCTGGTGTCTGGAGGATCCGACATGTCCAGCAGCTCGTCGATGTAGGCTTTGCTCTTCTGTGTCATTCCGTTAGTGTGTTTGAGGAAGAGGCTTGTTGTTCAATCTTTGTCTCAAGTATACGCACAGTCGGCAAATCAATATTCACAATTTCCAATTAACGTTGCTTCTTCGAATTCGTCGAAATCTTTTGCGAATCTCACTGTTCCAATTTTCTCAAGGAACGCCGATGTTCCTTCTAGCGAACGCTGCTCTTTGATAATAAATAGGTGTAGGAAAGGCAGGAGCGCAAGGAATTACACAATTTAGTGTACGACCTCGGCGACACTCTCGTTTATACTGAGACGGAAGAACGCACGAGTGTGGGGAAGACTTAAGAATATATGAGGGGGAAATAATTAACATTGAATAGAGAAATATAATTAACATGAAAGAACTGCGCGACTCATGTTGGAAGGATAGAGACACGTTGGCACGATTTTTTTTCTTTCCTTTTTTTACCTTAATAGCCACAAATATATAGGCACCTTTTTTTTCTTCTTAACGACTATGATAATTATGCGATAACAAAATGCAGAAAACAAATATATATTATATGTGGGGCTTCACCTTGATTCCAGTGAAGCTCAATCAGCATGTTTCGCAAGCACGTTCAGCATAATGCGTGATGAGTGAGTCTTATTTTTTTAATCAGATGTTTTCATTTAGCGATTAACATTTTGTCGGACATTTTCATCGGGATCGATCAACATGCTCAAGAATATATGTAAATTACCCTATTACAGTGCGTGTCTATGTGTGGACGTATGCATTTATGTGCATTTTAACAAAGCGAAACAATGCATAGCAGTGATTGGCAAAAATTGAAATTTATGCAGGTAATAATTTCTACTTAAGTTATCGTTGAATTAATCTTCTGACGCAACTTGGTTGATAATACATGTTGTCTGGATATTCAATTTACGCCAAAATATTATATTGCAGTTTACAATATTTCGCTATAAATTATTCACAGTTATTCCCCGTCCTTCATGATTATATTTGGAAATTCAATCATCGCCATAAAAGATGATAAACAAAACTCGATTCTGTATCGTTTGCGTCAACAGCTGACGCAAAGCTGAGTCAAGGTCCGTGTTGCGTCTTAAGATTCTCCAATGCTCTTTCAAGTTCGGCAGAATTAATACGCAACGAAAATTTCGAATTGAGCGATTGGAGCGCCGAATCGGTCGGCTCGATCGAAGGTCGACAGCAGCGGACAGAAGCAAAGCGAGCGAGCGACACGCAAGAAGGCGACCACCCGTTTCGGTAGGGAAAAGACGGTCAGTCCTCCTCTCCCCCCCCCCCTGCGCAGTTTCCCGAGGCGTCACGTTTATTCGCAAGAACCGGCAGATTTACTGGTCACTCTCCGCGCGCGGCGGACTCTAATTTTACGGGCGCAAAAATAACGACCGCGGTGCGCGGCAAAAAGGCACAGGTGCGGTTGCGGCACTTGATAAGCACGCGCTGCGTTTTCCTTAGCGCGATCTGACCGCGAGACGGGGGAAAAAGTGCGATAAGTGGAGGCGATAAATCGCCGAAGCGAACGGCCGCGGAGCCGTTGAGCCGGCGCGCCGTTTATTACCGCGGAAAGTAGCAAAAATGTTGCTATCGCTTCGGAAAACGTTCACCCGCGCGATCTACACAGGTGTGGATTAGAAAACGCCGCGAGGGCTTTGCGCCGGTAAATCCGGCCCGGTGAACCGACTAACGACTCGATTAAGAATAACGATGCTTGCTTGAAGAAGGAAGAAAAATCGCTACCTTAATACAATTACGTTTATACGATGTTGGATACTGGAAAAATGTCGAGAGGTAAGGCCAGCAGCCCGTGTGAGTGGCTTTCGGTCGCGCTTTTAGCGCGATTTCACTTCCCCGGAGAGATCTCATCCCGATTTCATTCCGTTAGTGCGCCATATTTGCGGAAAGAACGCGATCTCTCCCGATCGTTTCTTACGAGCGAGCCTGAAAGCGCGAGTCCGAGCGGTCGAGTGCGTTTCCCGCCGAAACGCTTGATGCGAGATATCGCATCTCCGGCGCGCGGGAAAGAAAAATCGAAAGAAATATCGTCGGGATTCACAGAGAGACCGGCACGTCCTTTTCTTTCACGTGGAATAGCCTTAATGTTGCTCCTGATCTCTCCCTTCTACGCGGCGGGCCATGACACTATACTAACCCGGTGGAACGCTGTAAAATTAATTTACGCTTGTCGTGCTCAGCCAGTAGTAAAACGCGCGATCGTTTCCTTCCTCTCCGTTTCTCTCCGCTCGGTTGACCGTGCCGCGAGCATTAAGCCGCCCGAGTGTGGCAATGCGAGAGCGAGGTCTTGGAAGCCGGCCCGGCCGGCCGTCTCTCTCGTGGATCTTGTCCGAAACTTACGATATCGTTCACGTGCCGCTTCTAATTTATCTCGTCCGAGTGTTCGGTGGTCCCAACAATAAAATAACGCACGCACGAGAAGAAAAATACAAGTTCGCGTTATTTAATCTCACGTCGCGTCTACCGTCATATCGTTGTGGCGAAATTTCATCGTAATTCGAAGCCCGCGCTATTCATCAAGTTTGTCGAGTTGTGGTCTTTTTTACAGATTCGCGGATGCGAAATCGCCATCGGAGCGAAGCTCCGAAACGAACTCGACGCGCCGAGCGCGCGCGCGCGTTTGATGCGCGGTGATTCGTGCACCGTTCGCGGCTCTCATACACGCCGAGCTAGCTCGTTTCCGAGGAGGCAGGATAGTTCGGTCCTAGACGGACATCTACGAGGTACTTAGACCCCGTGGGAGTCATCGCGCGATCGCGTGTGGAAGCGGCTGTTCGGTCGTCGCGCCGGTCGCGTGATAATTCGCGACGCCCACCGACGAAGTTTCCACGATCGATCGTCGAAAAATTCACGGCTCCTTCGCCACGGCGGCCCTTTCCGGCGACCGAGAGGTCGTTGCACTTGGGCGCGAATGCTGGTGACGTCGCGCGCGCGCGCGCGACGGGACGGGAAAGCCGCGCTGTTCCAGCTGACGAAATGGAAATCAAACGACGTCTCATCCGCGCTTGGGCGCGCACTCGCTGGCCGCTCGCGCCTGAAACTCGCTCGAAATATTTCTCCCCGCCTCCCCCACCCCACCCACCCCACCCCTCCCGCCCTATAGTGGCCGGTGACTCTTGAATTCGCTGTGGTTACATTATCAGACATCGTGACTCGGGACATCGGGGGAAAGTCACCGTGTCGCCGTGGCCCGTCAGGCGGAGGATGAAACATTCAGCCTCTCGTCGTCGTCGTCGTCGTCGTCGTCGACGCGCGAGACGGGAAGAAAAAAGAAGCCGCTCGCGCGACGGCGCGGCGCGGCTCCCGCAGGTAACCGCGGGGCCATTGGCCCCGCAACGGACGCCGGAGGACGCGGAACGTTAGATAGCAAAACGAAGAACGATAGATAGGGATAAGGACACCGGGAGAAGAGGGATAAATTACCAATGATAGAATAGGACGTAAGCGCGCGGCAAGGGGGCACGGAAGGATGTGGGGAAGGGAAAGATCGAACCCCGAAGGGTGGGAGAAGTCGCGACCGCTGCGAGGAGGAGGTGGTGGCGGCGCGGGGACGGAGGGGAAAAGTGGAAGGAGACTCCTTTCGACCTCTGCCAGAGACCCCACGGTGAACCCCGCCCGAGGCGAGGGGTCACTCACCTATTCCTCTCTCTCTACGCGGCCTTTTACCGCGCGGCACAACAGGCTAATTACGCCTGATTACGTACCCGTTTTCAGGCGTGTACGCGTACGTTCCTGGCCGTGCCAGGGTCTCTCTCTCTCTCTCTCTCTCTCCCCCTCCCTCTCTGCGTCTCTCGTTCTTTCTCTCTCTCTCTCTCTCTCTCTCTCTCTCTCTCTCTCTCTCTCTCTTTCTTTCTTTCTTATACATGCACACGTATACAGATACACACACACACACACACACAGGTACACTCTTCTTCCGCAGTTTACCGCGTCCCCGAGGAGACCCGGGCACCTAGCCTTATCTACCTAGCAAGCCGTAGCCGTAGCCGTAGCCTTAGAGCCGGCTGGCGCGTCGTAACCGTGGAATTGACACTTTTACGAAAGCATCGTACAGCTTGGCCTGTCATTACGCGAACACGGCGCGTGCGTCGTCCCCCAGGCCAGCCAGGCGACCTGTCCCCTCTAGCAACGCGGTCCGAGATCGATAACGAGAAAGGGACAGGGTGAGAGAGTGTGTGTAAGAGAGAGAGACAGAGAGAGGGAGGGAGGGAGGGAAAGAGAGAGAGAGGGAGGTAGAGAATACGGAGAGAAAGGGTGGTCAGAGTACTAAATCGTTCCGTCGATGCGCGCCCGGTTGAGGAAGGTTGCGATCTGTCGCGTCATCAATGAAATTCTCGGCGATTTCTTCGGTAACTGCAACCTCTTCCGGCGACGCGACGCCGCGGAGGGGATCGAGCGGCCTGAGAGGCAATTTCTTCGATTCCGTGCTCGATTCCGTGCGAAGGACGGAATAGGATCACGGGATAAGATCACGGACGTCCCGTCGGAGTTTGTAGATACTTTGGATTTTTCGTGAGTCGCGTTATTTCCACCGCACGACGTGAACTGAGATATACAAACGAACAGGTACAGGTTGCGCGCGATAGATGCGATCGATCGATGCGAATGGAACCGCCGGCGCGCCGGCGGGCTGAGCCCGCGCTCTCTCGTTGAAACGTGAGGGATTTTGACGTTACCGAGGCTGGCGCGCGTCGACAACGTCATCGTCGAACGAGCTCCGCGTCTGAGGCCATTTGCGAATTATTGATTTTCGCGCGCCGCGAGTAAACATTCAACGGACCGTGACTAATGAACCGCGGGATATGTAGAAATCGCGGGGAACGCGGAGCCGTTGTTACGCAGGAGAAAACCCCTCTCCCTCTCCCTCCCTCCCTCTCTCTCTCTCTTTCTCTCTCTCTCTCTCTCTCTCTCTCTCTCTCTCTCTTTCTAATAACACGATGATCGAACCTTGCTCCAGGCCACGAGACGCTAATCATTTCTACGCTATCCC